TGATACACCGTCGCACTTCTCTCCCGAAGTCTTGAGCAATAGCCGCAAAAGGTGCCTTTTGGCACTTCATCGCGACACGTCCAGCTCCAGGTGCCGACGAAGCGGCTTCCCAGCTCACCACCTCGCCTTCTCTGTCTCTCTCCTGGCCAAGGCCCATCAGTATCAAGTCTGAGCTCTCCCAAACCGCCCTTATCTTGGGTGATGAAGCCCACTCTGGCTCATACCACGGCTCTTACGGCCTCACACACGCCCGTTTCACCCACAGACACCGCCGGCACGCACTCCCACTTCACACACGCTCAAGCACAACCCCACCAAAGCACAGCCCTGCTCAGAATGGGCAAGATCCACCACTTGGTGACCCAGGTAGCTTCTGGCTCGCCACTGCACTCGGCTCCTCTGCAGCTGTCTCGCGCTCTTGCCACGACAGCACGCCGACGGCAAGCTTTGAGGTCCGTCTGGTGGACCTGCTGTCGCCACGGCCGCCACGCACATGCAGCTCACACCATGGCTCGACACCGGGGCCGCTCGTCCCGGTCGTGGCGGCGTGTGTGAAGGATGCGCGGCCGAGCCGCTGGCTGGCGCCGCTTAAACGTCCGAGATGGCCGCAGCACAGGCCATGCGTCGCGCCGCCGGCCAAGCCCAGCCTCTCGGCGGACCCCGGCCGTGCCAGAGGCAGCCCAGGTGGCGCGTGGGGCCGCGGCTCGGCGCTGGGAGCGCGCACGGGGCCCGCCCTCAGTTCAAGGCCGACCACCTGGGACGGCCACACCCCTGTGAAGAGAGCTTGGATGTCCCCTCGTCCAGCTCGCGAAGTCCCACTTTGGCATGCTCGTGCTCGTCACCATGTTCGTCTTTTTTGCTCATTCTTCTTGCGCGTCCCAGCGGCCCTAGTGCCACCAGCAAGCAGCCGGCTGCATGGGGCGAGAGGGTGCGTTTGAACGGCCTTTTCAAAGGTGTGAAAAACAGGGGCCCAGGCTTTATGGATCCGACACAATCAATGGCAATGAACGCGATCCAGTGCGTTTTGAGCACTTGAGCACACCGGATAGGGTCGATTCCGCATGGTACGGGACCCCTCGATCGTCTCGCCCTCCCTCACTGGTGTGTTCATTGGGGCGGGTCATAACAAACACGGTACAGGATCGAGGTGCACGCTGCCAAAGCAGTGTCGTCCCCCCTCTCCCCGACGGCGATGGCGGTGTGACCGATCGAGCTACAAGAGGAGCTTGTTCAGCAGGATCCGGGATAGTCAGATGCACTACCTCACTGGGCCTGAGACCATCGTACGACGCATCCATCACCGTCTCGGATTTGTGTGGAGTCGAACCACTCCGGGATGGGCAAGCCCATCAATTTTCACTATGTTTCTCCGCTGCACCTGCAGGGGATAGCGGGAGAGGGGTTGGCTGTATCTGGGACGGGAGGGAGGAGGAGGAGGGGGAGGACGGGGGGGGGGGGGGGGATTTAGGGGGGAACGGGGGGGGGGGGGCTCAAAAAATCAAAACCTGTTTTTATAACAACTCCTAAACGTTTTTCCCCCCCCGAGACTCCTAGCAACTCCTAAAGGTTTTTCACCCCCAAAGACTCCTTGGAACTTGGAGCCGTTTTTCCCCCCCAAAAATTGAAACCCCCCCAGGGCACCCGTTCCCCCACTCGGGGCACTTTAAAAAGCCTCCCCCCAAAATCCCCCGAAGGTCCTTTGGGTGGGGGGCGGGTGGT